TTATGACAAACCAACAGCCAATATCATACTGAATGGGCAAAAACTGGAAGCATTCCCTTTAAAATCTGGCACTAGACAAGGATGCCCTCTCTCACCACTCCTATTCAATGTTGTACTGGAAGTTCTAGCCAGAGCAATCAGGCAAGACAAAGAAATAAAGGGTATTCAAATAGGAAAGGTGGAAGCCAAATTGTCTCTATTTGCAGACGACATGATAGTATACCTAGAAGACCCCATCACCTCAGCCCAAAAACTCCTGAAACTGATAAGCAACTTCAGCAAAGTCTCAGGATATAAAATCAATGTGCAAAAATCACAAGCATTCGTCTACACGAACAACAGACTTAAAGAAAGCCAAATCAAGAGCGAACTGCCATACGCAATTGCTACAAAAAGAATAAAATACCTTGGAATACAACTCACAAGGAACGTAAGAGACCTCTACAAGGAGAACTACAAACCACTGCTCAACAAAATCAGAGAGGACACAAACAGATGGAGAAACATTCCATGTTCATGGTCAGGAAGAATTAATATTGTGAAAATGGCTATACTGCCCAAAGTAATTTACAGAATCAACGCTATCCCTATCAAGCTACCACTGACTTTCTTCACAGAACTGGAAAAAACCACCATGAACTTCATATGGAACCAAAAGAGAGCCCGCATAGCCAAGTCAATTCTAAGCAAAAAGAACACAGCGGGGGGCATCACACTACCGGATTTCAAACTATACTACAAGGCTACAGTAATCAAAACAGCATGGTACTGGTACCAAAACAGAGATATAGACCAATGGAACAAAACAGAGGCACCGGAGGCAACACAACATACATACAACTATACAATCTTTGATAAACCTGACAAAAACAAGCAATGGGGCAAGGATTCCATGTTTAACAAATGGTGTTGGGAAAACTGGCTAGCCATGTGCAGAAAGCAGAAACTGGACCCCTTCCTGACACCTTACACTAAAATTAACTCCAGATGGATTAAAGACTTAAACATAAGACCTGGCACCATAAAAACCCTAGAAGGAAATCTAGGCAAAACTATCCAGGACATAGGAGTAGGCAAGGACTTTATGAACAAAACACCAAAAGCATTGGCAACAAAAGCCAAAATAGACAAATGGGACCTAATCAAACTCCACAGCTTCTGCACAGCAAAAGAAACAGTCACTAGAGTGGATCGGCAACCAACAGAATGGGAAAAAATTTTCGCAGTCTACCCATCTGACAAAGGGCTGATATCCAGAATTTACAAAGAACTCAAACAGATTTACAGGAAAAAAACAAACAAGCCCATTCAAAAGCGGGCAAAGGATATGAACAGACACTTTACGAAAGAAGACATATATGAGGCCAACAATCATATGAAAAAATGCTCATCGTCACTGGTCATCAGAGAGATGCAAATCAAAACCACATTGAGATACCATCTCACGCCAGTTAGAATGGCGATCATTAAAAAATCTGGAGACAACAGATGCTGGAGAGGATGTGGAGAAAAAGGAACACTTCTACACTGTTGGTGGGAGTGTAAATTAGTTCAACCATTGTGGAAGACGGTGTGACGATTCCTCAAGGCCTTAGAAATAGAAATTCCATTTGACCCAGCAATCCCATTACTGGGTATATATCCAAAAGACTATAAATCGTTCTACTATAAGGACACATGTACACGAATGTTCATTGCAGCACTGTTTACAATAGCAAAGACCTGGAATCAACCCAAATGCCCATTGATAATAGACTGGATTGGAAAAATGTGGCACATATACACCATGGAATATTATGCAGCAATCAGAAATGATGAGTTTGTGTCGTTTGTAGGGACATGGATGAATCTGGAGAACATCATCCTCAGCAAACTGACACAAGAACAGAAAATGAAACACCGCATATTCTCACTCATAGGTGGGTGATGAAAAATGAGAACACATGGACACAGAAAGGGGAGTACTAAACACTGGGGTCTATTGGGGGGAAAAGGGGAGGGCCAGTGGGAGGGGGAGGTGGGGAGGGATAGCCTGGGGAGAAATGCCAAATGTGGGTGAAGGGGAGAAGAAAAGCAAAGCACACTGCCATGTGTGTACCTACGCAACTGTCTTGCATGCTATGCTCATGTACCCCAAAACCTAAAATCCAATAAAAAATAAAAATAAATAAATAAATAAATAAAAATAAATAAAAAAAAAAAAAAAGACAAGGAAAACCAGTTGTGGGACAGGGAGCTAGGGAGTGCCACTTTGCATGTGTCAAGTCTGCAGTGTCTATGGGACACAGGTGATGTTGAGCGGGTGGTATCAGGCTTCAGAGGAGAGATGTGGGCAGGAGATTTGGGTATATGAGTCACAGTCCCATAAATGCAATTAAAGACATGGGTGTAGGCTGGGCGCGGTGGCTCATGCCTGTAATCCCAGCACTTTGGGAAGCTGAGGTGGGCGGATCGCGAGGTCATGAGATCAAGACTCTCCTGGCCAACATGGTGAAACCCTGTCTCTACTAAAAATACAAAAATTAGCTGGGCATGGTGGTGCATGCCTGTAGTCCCAGCTACTTGGGAAGCTGAGGCAGAAGAATCTCTTGAACCTGGAAGGGGGAGGTTGCAGTGAGCTGAGATTGTATCACAGCACTCCAGCCTGGGTGACAGAACGAGACCCTGTCTCAAAAAAAAAAAAAAAAATATATATATATATATAGATGTGGATGTGGATGAAGTTAGCCAGCATACAGGGACTGTGGACCAAATCCTAGTAAATAACATTTTTGTGATGGGTACAGAACAGGGAGTGGCCAGGAGGCATGAGAACAAACAGGATGCAACTGTAGCAAAATAAAGTTTCCAAACACTTGGCCGTCCTGGGCACTTCATCCTTTGTGCTTTTTGTTGTTACTGTTTTTTGTTTTTCAGTAACCTTCATTAGGTAGGGAGTTCTGAATGGACGCAACATTCCACATGTAGTAGAGAGGAACCAGCTCCTACAGCTGAAACCTATACTTCTAAAAATGCAGGCAGCATGCCTTGATAGCTCATTTTAAACTTGTCAAATAGAATAATCCAAAGTATTGCAACAATTAATCAATCAATAGTTATTGAGACTGAGTGTGTTGAGGTTTTATATACAGGGGTATAAAACCACCATTTCAGACCCTTCTAGAAACATACACTGTGGTTAAGGAGATCAGAGATAGATAGATGTGGATGACCTTCTTCTGGTTGTCAAAATAAAAACCTGCCACTCCCAGAATCCGACACAGCCTCTCATGCCTTCTCGCCTTTGCACATGGTATTCCCTCCACCTGGAATTCCCTGCCCTTTTGTGCTGGTTATCAATATGTTGTGCTGGTTATCAATATGTTGTGCTGGTTATCAATATATTGCCTCTCTGCTCCAAATTCACCCTTTTTGCATTCTCTGTGAAAATAGATCTGTGCCCTTTGATGATTTTTTTTTGTCAGCCGACACGATGCTAAGCTTTGTCAGTAGAGGGTGCTAGAGAGACACTGCAGAAGGAAAAGGGTTTGCTTCCTGCTTCCCATGAGCTTGCTCAGCAGGCCTCTCTAGCACTTCCCAGTGCCAGGGCCCAGCTCCTGCATGCCCTGTAACCAGTAGCTTCCCCTAGCATCCCTCAGCTTGGGACAGTTTTAAATCAGAGTGCCTCCTGTGAGACACCTTCTCATGAGTAGCCTTCCCCAATACCCTGCATGGGGGCATTTCTGGCAAGTTCCAGGTTCCAGAAAGTTCCACCAGCACAGCAACATAGCATCTTCTCTGCCAATCTGTGAGCCACGGCCATGTCCCCTCCAACAAGATCTGAATTTCAGGCCTGGGGGCAGTGGCTTCTCCTTGGGTCTGCTTTGCTTATATTATTTAAATTCTCTTTACTTATTTCTAGCCAATAACCTGTTACTCCAATTCCTGATATAGTCAACAATTCCTCATATTAAGCTTCTCCTGTTCAAACTATGGTGTAGTTTTGCCCTCCTGATTGGCCCCAGATTGATAAACCTCCCTTGTCTATCTGACACACTGCTACTTATTCCTTGAGACTGGACTTAGGCATCATTGCTATACTTTGGCAAAAAGCTCAATTGATACATATTGAGGTTATTTACTCAGGCATAAATGCAGGAATGAATGAATTCTACTACTGCTTGGAAGTTACTTAGGAGGCAGGCTGGCAAATGAGACCCACCTTTTAGTTGATGAATGACCATAATCCCAGAGAGGCCATGGTTGGGAGACCCTGGATTTGGCATCTTAGAGACAGAGCTTGGCCCTCCAGGGGTGTGCTTCTCAGGCTGAGTCTTATCATCCACCCAAGCCAGGCTTCCTGACTACCTCCCTACACAGAAAACTCTAGCCTGTCACTCTGCCTGCTTCAGAAATACAGTGAAACTCAAGGCCCCATACCCCAAGCTGGCTTTTACAGTCTAACATCATGGCACAAAGATGGAAACCAAAGAAAAAGGCCCCCAAAACATTTAGCTTTGACTTGCTCTGAAGGTCTTAGTAAGAAAATATCTTTAAATAGTCAGTTTGAATATCAACCAGGTGGGTAATTTGTCTAATAATTCTCAAACCCTGGTTTCCAATACACTTGGGTGTTTCCAGTTACCTCAAAAGGTTTTGCAAAACTCTCCAAAAGATCGTAATGGAGAGCCTTAATTTACTTTATGCTAAAAATTAAGTATATGCTTGGTGGCACTTTTAGGAGGCATGAAATAGGAGTGGGAAGGTTACAAAAAGGAAATAATAATAGGGTAGGAAAATTTCAAAGTGTGGGAATTATTCATCTACATTATAGCAAAAGGCATAAATCAATTCACATTATCCTGATATGTGCCACACCTTTAACCACTCCCAAAACAAGGGCATAAAAAATAATTAAGCACACACACGCGCACACACACACACGCGCGCACACACACATTTACCTTGCTTTATCTTGTCAACATAGATTGTATATATACATAAATATTGGTATGTGTTGACAAGCATATTTCTCATATTATTCATCACAGTATTTTATTTACCTTTTTGCTACACCTTTATTTCTATATTTTTACCTCAGTTTCTCCCATCTGCAGAATGTTGTAAGGATTGAAAAGTTAATATTTGTAAAGTTTTCATATAAAACCACACACAAATTTAGCCTTATTTTAGTGTTGAAAACAAATTAAATAGGAATAAATTCAACCAAGGAGGCAAAGAACTTGTACACTGAAAACACAAAATGTTGCTAAAAGAAATTAAAGACATAAATAAATGAAAAGTTATCTTCTGCTTGTGGACTGGAGGACTTCATATTGTTAAGATGTCAATAATACCCAAAGTGATCTACAGATTCAGTGCAACTCCTATCAAAATCCCAGCCACAGTTTTTATAGAACTAGATAAACCCATCCTAAAATTCATATGGAATCTCAAGGGGCCAGAATAGCCAAAACAATCCGGAAGAATGAAGAACAAAGTTGAAGGTCTCACACTTCCTGATTTCAAAACTTGCTATAGAGCTACAGTAATCAAAACAGAGTGGTGCTGGCATAAAGACAGACACGCACAATGAAATCAGAAACAAACCTTAATATATAGGGTCAAAGGGTTTTCTACGAGGGTGCCAAGACCATTCAACGGAGAAAAGACAGTATGTGTTTCAATGAATAGTGCTGGAAAAACTGGATATCCACATGCAAAAGGATGAGGTTGTACCATTACCTTACACATATACAAAAATGAACTCAAAGTGGATCAAAGACCTAAACATCAGAGCTAAAACTATAAAACTCTTAGAAGAAAATAGGGGCAAAATTTCATGACATTGAATTTTCAATGATTTCTTGGAATTAACACCAAAACACAGGCAATAAAAGAAAAAATAGGTAAAGCAGACTTCATCAAAATTAAAATCTTTCGTGCATCAAAAGACATGGCCAAGGCAACCCACAGAATAGGGAAAAAATTCAAATCACCTATTTGGTAAAGGATTAATATCCAGAATAAAGAACTCCCACAACCCAGCAACAATCTCCATTTAAAAATGGGCAAAGAACAATGGTACCCAGAGGCCATGGGGAAGCGGGAATGAGGAGTTATTGTATAATGAGTAGAGTTTCAGTTTGGGATGATGGAGAAGACTGGAGGTAGACAGTGTTGATGGTTGCATGACAATGTGAGTATATTCAATGCCGCTTACACTTAAAAATAGTAAAATGGCAAATTTTATGTTATGTAGATTTTACCACAGTAAAAAAACTAAAATAAAATAAATCAGAAACATGAAACGGAGTACCTATTATGTACCACTTGTCACCTGTTACTTGAGTTGATCCTCTCAACATTCCTATGAAGCAGTCACTTTTATCATTATCCCCATTTTATGGATGAAGAAATGGAGGCTCAGAGAGGTCGAGTTCTTTGCCTTCAGAAATGAAGAAAGCAAGTGGTAGAGCCCAGAGAGTCAGGCTCCAGGCTCAGTCCCTGTAACCTGTACCCCACACATCTTCCTTGCTGGCTAGCAGATGATGAACATGACCTGCGTTTGGGTGGGGTGAGGCAAAGCAAGGAGAGGCAGGGACCAGGCCTCCTCCCACCCACTGGCCTTAACTGCAGGCTATTGACTCAGCACTCACTCACACCAAACAGATCAGGTGTGTCCTGTGCCAGGGCCTGACTTTTACTGCTGGTAGCAGAGCACTTCAAAGAGGTGTAGCCCCAAATACCTTCACTGTCAACATAAAGGAACTCCTGGTTGGCCTCTCTGATGGGAGGGAAGAGGTTTCTTTAAACTTTCTCCAAGAAAAGGCCTGAGGGAGCCTTTATTAAAATCTTAGCTGTGGCCTTTTCAAGATGTCTGGTGATTACCTGACCCCTCATTCAACTACAAATCCAGCGAAGTTTAAACAAAAATGTAATAAATAATGCTGTGAGGTGAATCATTCACTAAAATACCTGCACAATCTGGATTTGGGAGAAATTCTTGGATTGGAGATTTGAAAATGTTAATGTTTTACCAATGTGTATGGTGGTTTTTCATATAATATTAATTAATAGTATCCTGGTTTTTGATATAATAATATATTGAATTAATATATTATTAATTTGCAGTATTATGTTTTTAATATTTTAATATTTTTCTTTTCTGTAATCTTCCTTTCTCTCTCTCTTTCTGGCTATAAAAGAGAACAGTGCCAACACAAACACTCTGTATTATTCTTTTTTTTTTTTTTTGAGATGGAGTCTGGTACTGTCACCTGAGCTGGAGTGCAGTGGCACAATCTAGGCTCACTGCAAACTCCGCCTTCTAGGTTCAAGTGATTCTCGTCTCAGCCTCCTGAGTAGCTGGGATTATAGGTGCCCACCACCATGCCCGGCTAATTTTTTGTATTTTTAGTAGAGACCAGGTTTCACCAACTCCCGACGTCAAGGGATCCACCCACCTCAGCCTCCCAAAGTGCTGGTATTACAGGTGTGAGCCACTGCTCGTGGCCAGTATTATTAATATCTATTGAGAGCTTACTATATGCAAGTTCTCCCACCATTTGTATGTAAGCTCTATGTATTTATGAGAAAACATATAGGGCTGAATAACCTATCCAATGTCAAGCAGCAAGTACAGGGAGAGCTGAGGGTCACACCCTGCTGTCTGATCCAGATCCTTGCTATAAACCAGCCTCATGACCTCAGGACATCCCCACTTCATTCTTTGGGGCCAATTTTCCTTACCTGTGAAATGAGGGAATTGAATCAGACGGATAAGATTTTCTTCCAGCTCATACATGTCTATTTCCTCGTTTCTGCACACGAATGGTCCTCTTCCAACAGGACCTCCTAGGTGTATCCACCAGCACTGCCTGCCTCGATTGTCGGTGCCATCCATGCCATGGGCCTGGGAAAGAGAGTTGGGGGTGGCTGAAACTGACAGTGCTCCTGAGCGCTGGCCTGAATTGTAGGCCTTTGACCCAGCACTCACTTACGCTGGACAGATGAGGTGTCCCTGTGCTAGACCCTTCTCCTGACTTTTAATGCTGGTGGCAGAGCACTTGAGAGAGTGCTATCACTCTTTTGTCCGCCCCAAACAGCCTTTACTCTTCAACTGCACTCACCCCTCTACCTACCTAAATAGCTCAACTGTCTTAACAAAGTCTACTCACACTCTGAAATGACCCAATTAAAAAGGCAACAGATAAAAAGATTCAAGCTGATAATTCTCATTACACTTCCATCTCCTGGAGTCACAGAATTTCTTCTCACTTGTGAATTTCCTCACAAGTCTAGGCAGTGGTATGCTGGTAAATGCTTAACACCTAGCTCCAGGAAAACAAAAAAAGCTCTGTAATGTGAATCATTTTCTGAGTTCTTCAGTTTAAATGTTCCCACTATGGCTGATGTCAAGCTACCAAAGCAAAGTCGCTGAACACAACTGGAAAAGAGATGCAAGCCAGTAAGCGCTGGTGCCAGCACACCACTGAGTCTGCTTCACACTACTACGTCCTCTGAAAGCCTGTAGCCAAAAGCATTGCTCATTCATTTGTTCTTTAATTCATTCAATGAACTTTTTAAAAAGTATAGGAATTGAAATGACATTTATTCAAATAGTTATTTATTACAAATCAAAAGCCCTACTAGGCTTATTACAAAGCATTATTTTTCCAGTACTTCCCTCAGAGGTTCCTTAGGTGGAAGGGTGATTCTTCTACTTTCAAATAATTGACTTACCCAAATCAGATGCGATTATTTGCTTCTCTTGGATTAGCAATTCTCATTAACATCCTTAACATTGGGAAAGGTGACATCAGAATAGCTTTGATATAAAGTCCAACCTGCTTTATTGTTGAAAGTTTAAAAATCCAATGTAAAAAAAAAAAAAAAAAAACAGTCACCTCTGGAAAATGCTTACCTAGACATATATTTTCTGTAATTATTTTTCTCTATATTGTTATATTCAAGATACAGGTGGTATATGAAGAGTATGAACTCTGGAACCTGAATGCCTGGATCCTAATCACAGTTCCACCAATATTAGCTGTGTAGTCTTGGGCAAATTACTTAACCTCTCCATGTTTTGGTTTTCTCACATTAGAACAGGGTTCATGATAATAACTGTAGCTGTTGTGAGGGTTAAGTAAATATACATACATACATTTTTTTGTTTATATACAGCATATAGAAAGTTCCATGTAACTGTTAGCAGTTATGTGTCATCAAACACGATCAGGGTTTCTCAAATGCTGTCTAGGCATCTTTCCAACAAGATGGTGCAGTACTTGAAATCTTTTTGCAGTCCCTCCACAGTGCCTAGCATACATGACTTTAGTAAATTCGTGTTGAAAAAGTAATTAATTGATTAAATGCAATTGATCAATGCAAAATATCCTTGCCACAAATAAACCATCTGTTCTATCATCAGGATCTTAGGCATACTTTACATCTCCATAACCACTCCAAAGGCAGGGAAGGTGATCAAGAATAAGAGCATGGCTGGGTGCAATGGCTCACACCTGTAATCCCAGCACTTTGGGAGGCTGAGATGGGTGGATCTCTTGAGGCCAGGAGTTTGAGACCAGCCTGGCCAACACGGTGAAAACCCATCTCTACCAAAAAATGCAAAAATTAGCCAGGCGTGGTGGCGCATGCCTGTGGCCCCAGCTACTCAGGAGGCTGAGGCACGAGAATGGCTTGAAACTGGGAGGCAGAGATCATGCCATTGTACTCCCACCTGGGTGACAAAGTGAGATCCTGTCACGAAAAAAAAAAAAAAAAGAATAAAGGCATGGAGTAATTTCCAGAGCTGTTAGCATGTATTTATGTTCAAGAGTGCTCATTTTATATAAGCAAGAAAAAATAAAAGCAACCTAAATGTTCATCAACAAGGGAAAGTGAATAAATATGATGTAACCATTAGATATTTATGTTTTCAGGAAATATTATTAACATGAAGAAAGTCCTAATTGTAATAAGCGAAAAGCAGGATTTAAAGTTGTATAAACAATATAATACTTTACATTCTTTAAAAATGTGTTTGCATAAAGAGAGAAATAAAGAGACTTACAATAAATATACCACAATCATTAATAGCTGTCTCTGGTTGGTGGGATTCAGGTTGATTTTTAAATTTCTTTCTTCTTGATATATTTCTGTATTTTCTAGTTTTTCCTAAAATGATAAAAAGAAAGTTAAATAAAGGAATTGCTGTTAAAATGGGGACACTAATTCCAACTTTGGAATTACATATCCACCCAATCTGATGTTATTTACTGCCACCCATCCCCCTCCCATTCCCAACCTCCCAAAATGTCCCAAATCTGACATGATGGTGTAATCTATGCCTTGCAAATATGACACCATCATCCAGCTATTTGGGGGCATTAATAATTACCTTAATTTTTTACACTCCCTTCAGGTATCTGGCATTGGGTAAATACAGTTAACCTCACATAGACATATTTTCAGCTATTAAAAACCAAGCACATTTGTGTTATCTCCTGCCCTTGAGGTGCCTGATACAAGGGAAGCATGATTGAGTACCTTACTGATAAGGCTGAACAAATATGTCTTTTGAAATAGACTATAGGAAAAGCTCAGATTGGAGATGGCTGATGCACATTAAAGTTTAGCTAAATTTGGGTAAAAGGTGGATCTCGATTTAATGAAGTGCTCATCCTGGAATATTTGTTTTTAAAAAGCCACTTTTATTACTTTCAAATCCGATAGGCTTGAAGCACAATATTGTCGAAACGGAGGTAGCAAGTACACAACAGCCCCCACTTTTAGGAATAGGTAAGAATTATTTATAACGACGATCAGTCAACTATGATTTGGTCCCTCTGATGCATTTAAGAACAAATTATTCAAGATAATGAAAAAAGCAACTTATTCCCTTAAGTGGTGCAATTTTTTGCAATCTTATTTTTATTCTCAATTTGCTTACCTGCACCATTCCTCAAGGCAGTCTCAGGCCAAAGCCTATCTAAAGCATCATAAATTTCAAACAACTGAGCTAAATCAATAAGGTTTTATAGGACATCTTAAAGAAAAAGAAAAGGCATTACTTCACTAAATGTAGCTGGAGAAATGCACAGAAGTTATTTCTGTCCAGGCTCCCTCGCTATGGATGGAGGAACCAGACAGTTCTATTTTCATTCATAAGGAGCATCTCAAAACCTGGGGCATATCATGGGATGCAATTGGCCCCAAGGAAGAGGAAACAGGAGAATGGCTTGGCAGCCCATGAGATTCTTTTGGAGAAGAAATTATTAATAACAAGGAATATTTTACTGTGGATCAAAGTGTGTTCCCTCTGTTGGTGAGTCAATGATTTCATGGAAATAATTTATTTACATTAGATTTTTTAATTGCCCCATTTACCTACTGGGTATTGTTCTTCTCCATGGCACATATCATTAACACATATATTTGACTTTATTATTTTTATTTTGTCTGTCTCCCCCAATCCAAAAGCAGCCTCCTTGAAGGAATGGGTTTTTTGTTTGTTTGTTTGTTTGTTTCACTATGGTTTCATTGGATGCATTTAGAACATGCCAGTATATTGGAGGTAGACAACAAATATTTGTTGAATGAATCAAGTTCCCACATACTCCAGGGGCGTATGTCTATGGTGAAGTAGAAAGAGCACTGGATTCAGAGTCCAAAGTAGAGAGCACTTTGTTTGGCTCATACTAGACATGAAATGACCATTTTGGAAGTGGACAAATGGGTGGATGGATGGATGGACAGATACGTGAATGAATGAGAAGTGATGGAGCAATGTTATAATGGTAACTCTGTATCTGTAAAATGAGTATAACAACTCATTAATAAAACTGAAACCAGTTGTGACATCGTACTTGCTCAGTAACTCCTTTATTTTTCTTGTAGCTGATGTAGAGAAAGAAACAACAGGGCGATGAAAACCCTAGCAGTGTAAAACAAGGAAAGAAAGCATTTAATCTGAGAAAATGAGAGGAGACAGGTATATGTGGGCAGAGGGGTCTGTTTTCACTCTGTCTTACCGTGCTCCCAAACCATGGTAGTGTTTGAGCGGAGGCTGCAAGAGGCAGGGAAGTGGAACAGGTGGACAGGCTGCTGGCTTCCAAGGAAAACTAGCCTTCGGTTTCTCCTCAGTGGCCTCCTGGAGCTGAGAGGCATTAGATGTTCAGGAACAAGGTGACGACAGTCCTTCATAGTCACTCTGGTCTCGGGGGTCTCAGCTCTGGTCATTACATCTCCAGAGTAGTCCAGCCCTGCATACTTGTTCTTAACGATGCTCTTCCTGCTACAGGAGAGGAAGCCTTCACTGAGCAGCCTGCCTTGCTCGATCCTCCCAGACTTGCAGTGTGGCTGGCTCTGGCGTCTTCTGAGGGCAGCAGCATCTTCTCTGGGGTCAGGGGTGGGGTAGGCCAGGATGCCTCTGAGTATATCCACTTCGGGTCTAGATAGCTGGGGTTGCTGGTGCTCTTGGAGATATTTCTGGTCCTGGGAAGCAGAGTAGAAGGGAGATCATCATTAACCAGCATGGGAGCGGGTCCCTGGCAACCTGATTCTCTTGGTTGGCCATCCCCCTTCCTAGTGATGATGTCCTAGGCAAACAAGCTAGGGTGAAAGGGCAGAAGAGAACCACAGGCTGCAGTGGGGTGGGCCTGGACCCTTTCAATAGTAACAGATGGGTCTGCAAGGTGTCCCAGGGCCTAGGGACACAGTCCCTCCTGAGGAACTCTGAAATCCCCATTGGTAGCACACTGGGATAGCCTGGCTGAGAGTGGAGCTTTTTCTCTGCTGCTGTTGCCTCAGGCCTATACCTAAAGTGCTCCAGAGCTGTGCCCAATGCTGCGATGTGCTGAAAAAAATCCCCTCATTTGGGGACCTTGGCCCATGCTTCCTTATTAATAGGTTCAAGAAGCAAACTTTCTTCTGCTACCGATAAGAGACTGTCAGGCTCCCCTGGGCACCAGCCATCGGTACTGTGCACGTGGATTGCTCTAAATATCCATTGCAGCAGGATAGTTGGATATCTAAATATCCAAGCCCGGGCACAGGAGCTGCTGGGAAACCCCAAATACGCCTTTTTCCCAGAGCTCTGCTAATACAAGCTCTCCTGTGTCAGGAGGTGACATTCCTGCCTCTGTCCACAGGAATGGGAAAGCTGCACAGATGTCCTAAAATACAGAAAGGATGAGAACAGCACTAAGCTTGGCTGGTTTCCCACCTGTAATCGACATGGAAACTATACCTCTTAATCTCCAACAGGCAAAACAACTCCTGCTGCTATGTGCGAGATCTGTGGCTCCAGCTTCCTCTATGCCTTTTTGTGGTTGTCGTCCCCAGGAACAGTTTGTGGAAATGAATGTGCCACCCTAACTTCCACAGGGTCACCTCTGTCCCTAAGTCTCTTAGGTGCTCAAATCTTGACCCCTGGGAGCAGTGGCCAGCACCATGGTAAACTAGACAAGGCAAATGGAGGGAAAGAGTGAACTGAGGAAGAGATCTGAAAACTGCTTGCAAGTGAAGCCTGTGTATAGTTCCATGCCTAACTGAACTCGTTCTTCGGGCAGTGCTCCTGAAACCCAGAGCAAGAAGACAAGGCCCACAGCAGGTTCCAGGGAGAGGCAGCTGGGGCCAACCTGAGCTCGGGGAATGGGTGAGGGAGGCTCTCGACCACATCACTGGGTACCCCCCTACCCCGTGAGAGGACAGGGGACCCATGCACTCAACTCAACTGTGGGAATTTTGTGTTCCAGCTACCAATGAGGAAGGGACCCAGGTCTCTCTGAGGGTGTGGGCAATCATGTGACCCCCTCGTTCTCCCTTCCCAGTGCCCACTCTGAGGTTCAGTAGAAATAGTATATGGAGATACCCTATCACAAGCTCAGCCACGTTTCTCTCCAACCTCACACATAGCACACCCCACCGGAATTCAAGCTGGCTGGGTCCCGTAACACCAGCCACCATTCACTGATGTGGCCCAAGTGCCTGGAACAGTGCCTGGCACATAGTAGGTGCTTAATAAACAGCTGTTGAATACATGCACCTACTGAGCTCCTCCTACGTGCCTGACACTATGCTAAAAGCTTGACAATTATTCCATTTATTTTTCACAAGAATCTTGTGAGGTAAATGTCAACTCATTTTCAGATGAGGAAACCAAAGCTTGGAGATGTTGAGCAAATTATTCAAGGTCCCACTGCCTGGTGTAACAGGAAGTTAAACCTGTCTCCTGCCCTTCCCACTGCTGTCTCCAAAGACTGAGCTCCTAAACATAGCACTTTTCTGCTTTTCTCTCCCATTACTCAAGGCCAGAAACAGGGACCAGAACATGCAAAGGAAAGAGGGACAGAGAGTGAGCTGGATTTTCACACCCCCAGCCCTGGCAACCGCCTCTTGGAGCTGGGCCTGGGGCCAAGTGGCCTGGAGGAGGCAAGTCCCCTGCAAGTCTCCAGCTGAGTGGCCGATGACCTTGAGATTCTACCCATCAAGGTGCTCCCCCACCTCCTCTTCGACTCTTGGCCCCATCTTTCAAAAGAATAGGGTCAGAAGGGATGGTGTATGGAAGTACAATTTCAAATAATAGTTCTTAGGTGAGGATAATGTCACAGATCACACCTCATCACTTCATTTACAAGTTTCTTTGTTTATCCAAGATGGTTGCATACAGCTGCCTTTAAAGTGGGTCACTAAGTCCTTCACTACGAACAATCTCACTGTGTGTGTGTGTGTATGTGTGCATGTTCCTTCAGAGTAGCTTAGCTGAATCCACCTGGAATTATGCCAGCTGAGCTTTTAAACAAATTTCTCTGTGCAGCAAGTTGCTTCAGCATATAGCAGGTGACACTTATGGGTGGGAATGTCCTACCAGGAGAAGACGCTGCACCTCCAGGAAGTTTTCCACTGTGAGGCTTGAAGAAATCAAGTCCCTCTTCAGTCTCTGGAAACCTACTCATGATCCAGTCTGTGAGCCATCATGGGCTGGATAATCCCAAAAAAGCATATGGATCAGGAGAGAACTGGACATGGAGCATTCCCAGAAACTGCCAAGATTTCTCAGTGTCATTCAGTCAACCAGGTGGCCTTAGGGAGCATCCCTTGAGAGTCATGCAGAGTGTGAAATTGTGGCAGACGCCACCCTCCCTGACCTGCCATCCAGTTAGGGAGATGCCCAGTGCATATCCAGCGAGCCACCCAGGCAGGGATCGGCCATGAGGACAAGGAGCGTTCAGGGGCTGGAGAGGCTCTGCAAGGGCGGGGCTTTCTGGAAAAGCTTAGGGAAGAGATGGAAAACACCTGCTGCCTTGCAGAATGGCTCAGGGAGGTGGAGAAAGGAAGAGCCCCAGGAGGGATGGGGACACATGTATGACAGGAGCACACTCCCAGCCCAGAGACTGAGGCTTGGATTGGGCAGACTCAGCAGGGCAGCTGTTGGGCATGCAGCTACTCCTGCTTGCTCCTCCATGGCATGGGCACCCAGAGCTGCCCCACAGGCTGCTGAGTTGTGTCTTTTAAGACAACACTTGGCTTCCGCCCTGAGCTGAGCTTCTGACTGGCTTTGGGAAGGATTACTGTGGTATTTCCAATCCTTCATACAGCATCTTTGTGATCCAAACCAAAAGTGCTTTTGGCTCAAGTCTCACAGGTCCCCAAACCCACCCATCACTGGTATTCTTTCTTCTCTGGGCATCTCAAATTTGCATTTGCTTTTCTATGTCATTCGCCACTGTGGCCCCAGCTGGTCTTCATAAGAAACTCATTCACTAAAAGATTTGAAAATGTGCACACCCTTTGACCTGTTAATTCCATTTTTCAAAATTACCATTGACTGACTTCTATTCTTTTGTTTGTTCACTCCGTGTGGACAGATTTGCCAGGTGCTGGGCTACACAATGATGAGCAAAAAGAAACTGAAGGCCCTGACAGAGCTTGTAGTCTAGGTCATTTGTTTGTTTTTCCCCTGAATACATAGATATAGGCTCTACAGGCACGTCTGTTGTCCTCTGGGAGAGAGTATGCAGTCACTGTATCATCCCATAAAATAAAAGCCCATTGACCACACCGCAGACACAAAATGACAGTTGTAGAGAGAATAAAAAGGAAACTTTCAGGTTAGGTTTTCAAACCACCCCAAGAGCCTCAGGGGTGGGCTGGAACTGGGTGGGGTACAGGCACCAGCAGAGACAGGAAGGAACACTCATTTGTGTATCACCTGAGGGACTCTCCTGTTCCCAGCACCCCGCCCACCTCTCCAACCAAGCAGTTACTTGTCATTTTCTCCATGGCACTGGGGGGTTTCCTAGTAAGATCTACGACTATTGGAACAGAATATTCTGTGTCTGAAAAAGTTTGAAACCACTAGTGGTCTCAAGGTTCTTAAAGTGCTTCTATATTTAGTCTGGACATCTTCCGGACTGGACGATTCCCCTCACCTCACCCCGATTCCCTTTAAATTCTCTAGCTTTTTATGTTTCATTAATGGGCTTTAATGATACCTGATACACGTTGGGTGTATAATTAATGGGCAATAATACATGGACATGGACATGATAAGTAGCAAAATCTCATCAACCATGCAAACATGCTGGATGCTCAAAGTCCTCAAACAATTTTGCTCTATATTTAGCAGAGGGAAAAACTACCTTAGTTAGGAACACATCAAAAACAACAAAAATGTAAGCAGTTTTACCAGTTTGACATGCATCCTAGATGGTGTTATTTGGCATTTTATGTACTGTTTGCTAAGTTTCCACAATGTGCTAGATAGCAATCTCTCTGCTCTAATTCTTGAGGCAATAGATTCTATATCTACACTTTTATCGTTCACATACCATCACTGCAATGATTTTTTAATAATATCTGAAGGCCATTTGTACTACTAAATATTTAATTTAAAGTTATTTTGTAATTAAATAAATTTACCTTAAAAGAAAACTTTTATATCCCTTTATATCACTACCTATAAATAGAAGACCAAGAACATTTGCCATCATAGAAGGTAACTGTAACAAATGCATAATGAAAACAGTAATTTTTCTGTGCATCATTTACTATCCCCTTTGGTTTCACCAGGGATATAGATACTGTTTTGTGAAACATTGTTCCAGCTCATACCATCACAGTATTCAGCTAAGAAAATAAAGTAGGTGTCGTTTGTCTTTGTTCCCTCCACCTAAGCCTACAAACTCCCTGCTACCTGCACACCCACACCCCCACTCCCCTCTAAGCATTCCCTTGATCTAAGCTACCCCACAGCTAGTCCTTGTTAAGGTATTAAACTATCACCTTATCATTTTTGCATGTGGATAAGAGACGAATCTTTCACAACTCAAATATCAGATCTTCATTGGAATTTTGGATATAATGCAAGAGAATTGTATCATTTAATTCAAAGCACATGCAATGGGTGATCAGCTAGCCACTCCTACTCACAACCCAGTCCTCATGCCTCCCCACAGGCTCATTTTTAGATTTCCCTGCAGAACACAGAAATT